TTATGATGATCTGCAGACATGGTGCTGCGGACCTTCAGCTACGGACCGCGGTGCCGACATTGGCGTCGCTGGTAGGAGACCCCAATAGTGCGGTGCGCGACGCCGCCATGCAACTGCTGGTCGATGTCTACAGACACGTTGGTTAGTAATCAAAGACATTCAAATAATATATACAGGAACCATAGTTGACACTTCACATTTTTCACAGAATATAGCGCTACCTGGTGTCTGATAATCTTTTTTCAATTCAAGCAATGAGTGTCTCGTTCTTTCAACTTTGATGTCTATACTATCATAATAAAGCGTAAACACACACTTCTTTGTTGCTTAACATGTCAGCAATCACAGCATATTTTTGAATAATCCTTTCTTTAATAAAAAGCCCTACACTTGCGTCACGCTTTAGGCTATTACACGCCATTAAACTAAGGGGGTACATATTTTGGACAAAAACGCTAATGTGGGAAAGAGACCATAAGTTGCTGCCAACATCAAGAAAGGAAGGTTGCCATTGTCATATTATTTTGACATTTTTAATTAATAATTTGACACATGTAAACAATAAAATAAAGTTTTTTTTTGCGGATGAAGTCGCACAGGAACAGCTAGTTTAGATATAACCATAAAAAGTTACCGGTGGAAATATTTTTGTTCTCAATGTCTAGTCTATATAGTTCTTAAAAGTCTTTGGTATTATTACTATCGGGGAATTTGGCGGTGTTACACTTGTGAATTTTCGTGACATAGACACAAGAAAAAAAGACCTAAATTTCATAGTTGAAGTGTATTAATAATGTTCGGGAAATTGTAGTTAAATATGTTTTAAATTTATTCAGTTGTTTTGTACTTCAAATTCAAATTGTAAAAGCCTCATGTGTAGACTCTATACTGTAGAAGTATAGAGTCTACACATGAGGCTGTAAAGTTGAGTAATATTGTAAAGTTACTGTAGTTTCTATATTATAAGGCGATTGTATTAGTTATTTAATCATTATTTGTACTTTAGGTGAAAAACTACGTTATGATTTAAAGAAGAAGGAACTGGTGCCAGCGCAGAAGATGGCTCTGCTAGAACAGAAGTTTGACGAAGCGAAAGAAGCCGGACTACTTTTGCCCACAGGTAGTAGTATAATGTAGTAAATCTCCGCTAAGGGAGAGTTTAGGTTCTTTGTGATCTATTTGTTATATGTCGGCATTAACTTGACACTGATGTAAATGCAAAATTTTTATTACTACCTCTCGTAAATACGGCTTAACGGATCTCGCTGAAATTTTGCACAGATGTAGAATATTGTCTGATAACAATCCATCGTGTAAATTATGTGATGGAAATATCGGATTTTGTTCCCTTATCTGTCAGTGACGTAATTTTTAAGCTATCTGAGCCTCTATCAGCCAGTGGTGGGACAAGCCCTTAGTCTCCTTAAGTCTTCGTGAAGGCGAAGGTAAAAGCTAGTCCTATTTTAATTTATAATATTTTTTTATTAAAAAATCTGTATCTCCTTACATTAACTGTCTCTAATTTCATTCATCAGTTCGCACAATTAGTTTTAAAAGTGTGTTTTGTTCTACTGCAATGCCGACTGATAAGACGGACACAAGGCATCTTTATTTATCTACCAGCCAAGAAATACAGTTCACGTTTTACAAAGTGTATTTTTTAACATAAGAATGTACATTTTCAGCAGTAGACGAGACAGACTTCGTGTCTCGCACCGTGAAGCGCACTATGACCATACCGACCTCCGCAAGACGCGAGGACTGCTCGCCTGCTTCCACACCCGGTATGTAACAATGAACGTATGTACTAACCCGTACGTACGTAGCGCACGCACTTACGTACACGTACGTACGTAATCACGTACACCACGTACACGTACGTACAGTTGTCGAAGTCTGCGGTGTTCCACTTTGTTAAAACTGAATTGTTTATTGCAATAAGACAAACTGCGCCACTTCAAATAATTAATTATATAGTAGTGAGTGCAAATGAAGGCATAATAATGGAAAGAAATTACTCGTGTATGTAATAGACATTTTTGTAATAATACGTTTATATGCTGCGTTGTATTACTTTTGTTTTGCGTCTCGTTTCAAAATGTTCAAACGATTGTAGCTTTTAAGTTGGAACACCGACAATTTCCCCAATTGTACTCAAGTACACGTACGTATACGCATCAGACAGTAACCACTTGGTATTAAATTATTCTTTCAAACATAAATGGCGGGAAAATCTACGCACACGAATAACCAATCATCAAATATCGAAAACTTTTCTATCTTTCGCTTAACTACATTCTATCGCTCTATATACCGCACACAGAGGTTAATTGATCACTAAGGGAGACATTTAGTAGATTTTTAATACTAAATATGAAAGGCCTGTCCCACAATTCTTGTAAATTGTCAGATAACAATCCAATGTATAAGGAAATATCGGATTTTGTTACTACAGTAGAAGCTCGATAAGTTAAAGTCCAAGGGAAACACAAAATATTTTAAGTTATAGAGGTTTTAAGTTATCAAGGATCTATGTTATAGAGGTTTTGGGCTGATGGGAAGGGAACATTTTATTTTTTGAAGTTATAGAGGTTTTTATGTTATCCAAGTTCTACTGTATAGCTAACAGTGATGTCACTGAGCTATCTGAGCCATCAGTGTGACAGGCCCTTATTCAGTCTCCTTAGTTAATTAACATCTGAGTGCGATATATCTAATATTACATTAAATCAAAATCTGTCTTCCATCTTGGATTGCCGCTGGACAATAACAATCACG